TGTAGAATTCATCCTTCATTTCTGGTGAACTGCAATCTGTCGGTGCATACGCCAATACGACGAATAAGCATCGGTGCTGTTGACGCGTACTGAACCATCCAGACGCACGACGCAAAGTAGGCTGTTAACCGAGATCCAATCGAGAAGTGAACGCTCGGCCTTGACACTTAGCGNNGAATCGCCTGACACACGGAGAGTGAAGCGTGAGGATGAGGCTGAATCTGGAGAACGGAGGGAGATGAATGAAGTAGGATCTTGTATGCGTGTTTCGGAGACACCGCATACGTCTAAATGGAAGGTTTCAAGAGTTCTGGCTAAGGCGGCTTGTTGACCGATTTGGTAGAGTGTGCGGATATTGAGTGCGGCTAAGTGAAAAGGGGATTTTGGTTTCAAAACTCTGATAGCCTCTGAGTGGTTGACCTTATTAGTTGAACGCTCAGTGATATGCGATGGATATCGCAAACACGAGGCACCTGGGGATATTCGGGATTGAGAAGGACTGGACAGATGGGAAAGATTGTTTTCCAAATGGGTACCCAAGACTTTAGGGCACGGCATACTTCACAGTTGCCTACACCGACGAAGGGGGGTTTCTTTGGGAACCCTAACCGGAGCCTTCGACTCAAAAGTTTCACCCACAAGGCAGTGGGGCGTAAATCCAACGCGGGAGCGTGAACGGAACACCAGTGTGGGAGCTTCTAAAGACCTGTCACGCAAGGCCTTTGAATTTTGGTTAAGTCTGTTGTTCGCTGGTGCGTTGATTGGTGGTCCGCTTTTCGGGATCGGCCCTTAGCCTCATGCACCCAGTGAGACAGGCGGAACGTGGACGGGACAGCACCTTATTGGCTGGGGGCTGCCCAGCTTGGGTGGCTGGTAGCTGTCCAATGAAGTGCGAAGACTTCTCCCACCGTCGAGAGGAAGCCCCATGTATCCCGCTCCTGCGTCCATCTAGCGAGGGTGTTTTGACCGGTAAACTGCCCCTCGCAGTGTTTTTTTACTGGAGTGGCCTTTCCAGGTGCGTGTGGATAGAAGAAAGCCAGGTGCCTAAGCAGTGGGCTTTGTTAGACTGAGCTTCGTCTGGCCTCTACCCGTTGACCTTTCAGGCATGATTGGATCTACGGTTGTGAAAAGCCATCCATCAGCTCGCAGGGTCACGGAGGCACATAAGCCATCACACCACGTCAAGGTGCAGTCCCGTCCCTAAAAATAGGCCCAATCTTCCTTGCATATTCTCACTTACCTTGTACGCACTGCGCGTTTGGCAGCAATCAGTGAGGTTTCGCTTCACTGTACTGTCATGATTGGAAAACGAAATGTGAAAGGCGGAAGGCAGAAAATAGTATCACGACAGCTAATAATAGTGACCGCACTAAAATACGGATCTGGTCAAGGGTAAAACTGTGAGGACGCATATCCATAATACGTCCCTTAAATAAAGAACGGAAACGGCCTCCTGAAAAAGAAACATTTGAAAGAAATATGACCACTTAGTTGAATGGTGTACAGTTAAACAAAAGCGCCATGTGCGATGAGCAAGTTCAGCTTTTAAGCCCCGTAACGATTGTTCCACACCAAACAGACTGATTTGGATACGTGCACCAGATAGCTTAGGAATTTTCATACTGTAGTTAACAACTCAGACTGTCTTTGAATCTGTCAGACCACCAACTAACTACCGTTGAAGACAGTATCGGAACAAACGAGAATCGATAATTCGCCTTAACCTGTGTTTTGGCAGCATTGCACGAATCTGGTGGGGCAGTCTTTTACGAGCAACGCTGAGGTTAAGCATATAGTTTCAGGCAACCGCCGTCGATCTCCATAGATTACGTTGGTTGGGATGTGTGTTACGCATGTCACCAAATAGGTTGCACGGCGAGCGATGTTTGCCGAGGCAGCTGATGATGGGTGGAAAAAAGCCAAGGGTAGTCAACCTAAGATCTGGCACGAGGGTATGTAGTCCCCAACCAGGGGGAATGGGTCACATATTTCCCGTTAGGCTCCCCGACTGGGGATCTCGGGATGATCGTAACCGATGGTTAGAGACACTGAGTGATATGGCTGAGTATCATGAACAGTGGCGTTTGCGCATCTTCTCAATTTCTTTGTAACCCTAGACCACTAAAATTCTCCTTTTTCTGTTCGACTTTATTTTCAAACTTCCTGTCTTTCTCCTATTCCTCAGCCAAATGGGCAGCCAAAAGACAGCAACCAAAATCGCCGCAAGAAGGTGCATAGTTAATGGTTGTACAAACTGAACTGAACTGAACTGATTCGTTATAGGGAAACTGTGCTTCCAAATTCTCATTAGTACCCGATGTGAGCTGGTTGGCACAGCGGTAGCACACATACACACTTGTCATGCGATAGTCCCGTTGTTCTGGACCTGGATTGGCTGGTGGACATAAATTACCACCAAACTCTAATGAGACAGAGTGAGATTCCAGTCTGGTGCTTCTTGTGTGTGGAGAGAGATGAAACCTGAAGAATGCTATGTCACAAAATTAATGGCAACTACCAAGGACCTTCACTCACAAGTGAGTTAAACAGGAACAGCTTTATTTGTATGTCATCAAGAAGATGAACGAACTCACCTCTAACAAGTGAAGCAACAAACTTCTAGCCTTGGTTTCATAACACCTGAGTAGTTGTGTGACGACCAATTCACTCAGTTGCCGACAAGATTGAAAACAGGCAACGTGCTGTTCGGCACCGTGAAGACCGAGCAACGATTCCAGATTAACACGTATGAGATCTTGTGCTTGCACATCCACATCCCATATGGTCGCCGCACTTACATTCGTTGCTACGTCTGCATCGGCCATGGTGATACACGAGCCTCCCGCGGCCATACAGCTTTCTGGGTTTGAAGTGATGCCCAAAATTTCGACCGGGGAGAGTGAAAATGATGTGTGAATCAAATTTCGAACCAGTACGAATAGTAACGTGTCTGACACAGTAGAACTTGCGGGCGAAAAGAGGCACTTTTGCAGCTGAAGAGTGATGCGGTGAAAATAAAACAAAAACAGTGGTATTTGAAGCCGATTTTTTTACTTTCACTGTGGGCATGATTAAAAACAAAAAAGTAAAATCGAAATGAAAAATGTGCGTACTTGTTGAATTCATGAGTTTCATCGAAGTTTGATTTGAATCAAAGATTTTACTAAGGCTTTCATAGCTCCCAATTACCAAGTTCCCCAAAATGAATAAGTGGTCTCCACCTCCGCAAGCAACGGAAAATGAAAGATCTGTCGTGGACTATACTCACGACATAACCAACTTATTCCAAACAAACATTGTTTGTTAATTTTGATCAACCTGGGTTCCTGCTGGTTTGCACGTCGACGAAACATACTTTCCATGCGACGGGTCCCGGTTGTGCCGAACAATATGCATGCCTGCTGAGCCCCAACAAAAACAAAACTTGAGTTTGGCCGTGGGGTTGTATATAGGACTGCCGATCGTACTGGAGCACTCCCCTCGATTCCAATCACGTATTAGCCTGCACCAAGTTGACCACTGGCTTCAGTGGACGTTCAAAACGCACCACAACACCGGTTAGACTACGACAAGGTGTCCCTACCAGCATGCCTAACTGTCCTTCAAAACGCGCAAACTGAGAAGCTAAAACCAACCCTACCTGATAACAACAATCAACACTAGTCGTTCACTAATAATGCTATGCATGCTGCTGGCCCAGTTAGTTGTGATCTGACACATCGTGTCGTGACACTCAATTTCTGCGGAGTCTTTATGAATTTGTAACTCACACCGATCCACCACGGCCGGAATCGAACACAACGGAACGCTAGAGGCGAATTCAACGCAAGCCTACGTAGAGAACGCTAAATGTGGCGGACTCGGAGTGTATCAGAGATGGAACATGCTGTCACCATGGGAAACCCCTGTAAGCTGCTTGATTTCATCCGAGTCACCACTGAGAAAACTCTGGTTGTGAGGAAGAGGATTCGTGGAGCTGGCATTCCACCTATTACCAGCAAAGGCGACGCCTGGAACGTTGGATGGATCACTTCGAGGCACAATTTAGATGAGCACCAGGTTAGCTTCTCACAAAGCTATTCTGGCACATGTCCCACGATCTATCGCGATAGATCCACCAACATGGGCGCAAACCTGCATGATTATATGTATACAACTATGTATATCTATGTATATATATATATATATTGCTTGCCGAATGTGGGGACAACAATGAATTACCGATGTGAAAACGCTTAAATTTACCGGGTTCGAACTGAACTCCTTAGACTTTGCAGTGAAGAAAGGGGAAAGCAAGTGACGAGCATGCAACCTCCAGTCTTGAAGCTTAACAATCAGCACATTCAATAGCTACTTTATTGATCCTTCTAGAAGTAAAAAACATTTTCGACCAGGATACCCACTAATGTAATTTGGCAGTAGGCTAAAAGAATGAACGGGTTTGTCTAGACCCATCCTATTACGTAAACGCTTTAACGACCTCTAAACGGTAATTGCACTCTTGAAAGTTTCTGTGGCCAGCTACGGTAGCATACGTCATGATAAAGGTTTCAGTTGCCTTGGCTATTCCTGTGTTGATCTAACACGTGAATTCGGGATGCTAAACAATCCAACGGAAGCGGCTTGTTACACTATATTCCACAGATTAGTTCACCATTTTTGTAGGGAAAGGCGTAAACACCCTTTCTATAGATATGAACAAGAAAGTAACCTTTGTGATCCACATGTTACTTTCTGATCAGATGGTAATGCAAAATATTAAACTTAAACCAAAAAATACTGCTTTACAACATACCTACGCATGTGTAACAACTTTACCAGGTCGAATCAATTTAAATCAAGGGCCGGTCAACAGAAAACACAAAGTGTAATTAAACATATGTGAAAATCTGGATCACCATAGAATATTACGTACTTCAGATGATCCAGAAGTATCCAGCGGGAGCTGAGCACCTGAATCACAGGCTTTTGAGGACAATAAACCGTAAACCAGAGCCAAAATCCATGTCATTGCTTTTTTATCTAGCAGCGGTCGAACAGCTTGTTTAGATAAAATCTCTGTTGTGTGTAAAAATAACATATTAATGCTCTTTCCGCGCACTTCTGGATTGGATACCATAGTCGCAGCAAGAATTAACTTTGTCAAACGTCGAGCAAATTGCGCGTGTTCGGCCGTCCAACAACTGTCTGAGCCAAGCGAATACAGTTTATTTAGAACAGCGAATGATTGGTCGAAAATGCGTGTGGCTACCGGTAGTGCGGCTGAATCCAAAAGATAGGGACCGGATTTCGGTTGAAGACTCGGAGCTGTCAAACATGTATACAACAAACGAGAAAGACGAATAGCAGGATCCAAGGTGGCTTGGCGTAAGTTCATCGAACTGGTTTGCCATAGGTTCAACACGGTGGGCAACAAAGTTTGAATCAACTCGAGGAACACCTTCCTACGCGCTGGTAAACGAAAACCGGCAGCAGCTCTCAGTCCGGAACGTAAGGATGACCAAGCGCACGCATTTATCAGCTGTTCCCAAATTTCATCAGACCACTCCTCTTTTAGCCAATCGTTGTGTACCAAGCGAGCCATCAATGTAGCTAAACACGGTCCAATCTGGGGCATAACCTCGATTGCATTGATCATCCTTGAAGGATCACTCCCGGAGGCAAGATAATTCAGAAGTAAATATCTCACGGAACTGCGTTCAGATGAGACTAGATTCTTCCAAATTTGTGGGTCAAACAATGCATTCTTCAAGTGGATAAGGCCAACAAAGCGACCATTCGGAGTTAGACTGCTGTTCTCAGGATTGAATACTGCAATCGCGAGTTTTTCATATACTCTCTCTTTTGGATCACAAGACGCTGTGAAAAGGAGTAATTGCTGTCCAGCTGCTACTACCGTATTCGGATCATTAGAAGCAGCAGAGTTGAGCAAGTCAATCAATCCTGAGGACATCAGCAAAGCGACGACTGAAAAGTACAGATTTAGATATTACACGTAAAATACCTCAAATTAAAAATCAATTGAGAACAGATGTGGAACATTAGCAACCAAAAACATTTAATGTATTGACCCTATGAGAAATGAGTATCACTCATTATCACCTCTTCACACAGTGGTAAAGAAAAGGGTTAAATGATTTTCATGGGAATATCCTTTCCAATGTGGTTATCAAATCCAGATTGCATCTGGCTAAAAAAGGACAGCATAGCCCCTTGGGTGGAAGATGTCGAACTCTTGGGCTGCAACCCTTAGTAAGCTTATATTAGTGGAAGAGACGAAACCGTTTCTGAGACATCTTGTTCCAAAGCAAATGGCGTATACAACTCCCATTCAGACGACTTATCAACAGAGAAGAACACTCACAGTCACGCCCCGAGACCAACTCTTCATAACTTGAAAATGACCATCCACGGCTACGCAGCAAGACCTAACAGACAATCTGCAATTGAAAAACAACGGAGTGTTCACCGCTGCAACCAGCGGAACAGAGAGGCTTAAGAAAGGATCTCCCGAGCGTCAGTGGTATCTTGCTCGGTGGGGAGAATGTTATCAACTTATTTACTACTGTATTTCTCATTCAAACTATATTAACGTTGCTATTTCAGCTAGTGCCCGACAATTGTTAGATGAGTAAGAGCCCGTTTGGTCAAACTCTCATTCTCAGTTACCCCTCAGTACTATCCGAAAAGCAAACCTAAAATTACTATAAAGCAAGCGATGGAACTAACTAGATCCTGCCTATCCGGGCACGAGCTGCTATGAAAAGATCAGAGAGCCACATTCTATCATTAAAATTTCAGCATCTAACCACTGGAACAAATGTGAACAAAAACAACCCTTATATCCTGTCGGATTTTAGTTCTGACGAGCATAGAAGCATTATTAACAGAATCGCGCATTACCTTAAACATTAACTTGAACTTGCAATCCTTATTTCGCCTGTTGGTGATATTGCTGGGAGAAAATTATATCGGTATTATTTTTCATTATTTTAACAGCAGAGTAGAAATAGTACGGTTTTCCACAAGTATGAAAAGCGTGGCCCGGAATCATAATTTAAGTTTCGTCGAAAACGATAACTAGCTCTAAACTAACACCCATTTTCAGTTCTGTATGATGTATGTGCTGATGTGTTATCTACTTACGATTTTTGATGCCCTATCCAAAGGTTGAACTAGCCTTCAATAGAAATAGATTTTGCTTTCCGTTAAGTGGACTGACATTTGTTACTGCTGTGGTGACTTGGACTTTGTGCAGTTATCGAATGAATGTTAATTCATAACAACAAAATCCAGACACCACCCCCAGAATGAGCGCTTTATATCGAATTAAATCCAGAGCTTGCTGAAAGAAGAAATCATTGATATCCTCCTGGCGAACGTACCAATTGAACTGGAGCGCAACGTGGTCGTCCGTCGAGAGCTGTGTGGGAGGTTGGTACTGGATAGGAACCAATGGTGGTCTCCGCAGAAATCAAGAAGTCAATCGCTATTATCTGTTTGCTGGCAGGGTAGAGCACAAATACCGCCTAAGCAAGCTTCTAATGCGATCAGTTTTCAAACCTGATGGTTAAAACTGGCTGCAAGTAAAACTATGTCGCAGGTTTGACTCAACCGAATGAGTTTGGTGAGTTTGCCGTAGAAATCGTCCTTTTGTGTCAGAACTGCAGTTCTCCGGTGCATATGCCGAGTTGATGAACAGACATCTTTTAGTGTTAGTTTCTCTCCGGGCGCTGATTAAACCCTGGAGACATCTCACAGACGACTGTTGACAGGGATCCAATCGATAAGATGACTATGCCTTGTTAATGAGTAAAATACCTGCCCGCGAAAACCTAATGAACGGGATTCGTCGTCGCCTGATGTGCGAAGAATGTACCTTGAGGGTAAATCCGGGGGAATCAAGTGGCTTAAAGTAGTATGATCTTGAATCCGAGTCTCCGATACGCAGCAAATATTGATCTTTAAGGATTCCATTATACGCGCCAATGTTGCTAAATTGATCCAGTGAAAATTTAGCTTCGTTTTCCTGCGTCCAGAATTAACGTGCAGTAGATAACCAACAAGTTAAAACGCCAGGCTAAAACTTCAATACGATTTTCATTAAATCGATCCCTCCATTGTTTTTTCACAACAGGATCCATGCTCTTTCTAGTGAATCGGAGAGGTGACGAAGGAAATAGACACGTAATTCCAAACAGTTTCTTCCTCGTTGTGTTCGAAATCCACGAGCACAGGATCGAAGTGTTGGCGAATAATACTCACAGAAATATACTAATATATTCCGTTCCATCTGGCAATCTTATTCTGTAGCAAAACCTACTTGAAAAATATTCTGCCAAGTTAATTCATAGCACTTCCCGAACTTGGAATGACATCAGTTTTCACCATCGAAAACGGAAGCGTTCCCGTAACGTAAGTCGCCTAAGATGAGTTGAAAAGAGCATATTTCCTGATTTTAAACCATAGCTCATCAACTTCCCTACGACTAAAATTTTAGTCTTTGTTCAACTTGGTACTACTCAACTGAGTTAACCCTGTTGAGTAGTACCACACTGAATTCAGGTGCGATTTAGGGGCCAAAAAGAACCAGATGAAACAGGGAAAAATAGGAAAAAATTGAACTCCTGAGTGACAAAAGTCGAAAATTATTTCGTCGAAAAATTCAGTTTACGTTGCACAGAAATGATAATGGAGACGGCCAACCGAACGTCCAGATTTCTTCCACCAGTAGTATGCTCACAAAGATAGTATCTTTCTAGTCTACTTCCAATCCAATCCAATTATCCAGGACGTAGAGGCCTCAGCCTTATGGTTGTCCTCTGCTTTTTTCCTAAAATTGAGATAAATTAGGAATCTTTGACGCATGAATAGCATATTTAAAATTATGGGAAGAAAACAAATGATTTTGTGGGAAATTCCAGGTCTGTATGGGTTACTTAGACAAATCGTTTTTTATTTGTATGAACGAACTTTTATAAGGTTCAGCTCAGTTCGCAGTTCAGTTTGCACAGGACGAATATGGCTCTTGTCAATCGAGCGTCCAGTTCAGTGTGTTGTGATCCTCTCAATTTAACCCCGTTGCCAGAACGTTGACTCCTTGGGGTATGCTGAAATGGAGGAAACCAAGCAAGGATATCTCCTCGCCTCATTGGTTAGAGACCTCAGGTGCACATGCGGTCACATACACAAATCCCATATGACAGGACAGTCAGTTTGAGAACAATTCCAACAATCAAGCCCGAGTTTACTCAATTTCACAAAATTTCGGCCAATGTGGAATTTATTCTTGATGTTCTCACTCTAAATACTAACTTCGGGGAACGTTGCTGACCAACATGCGTCCAGGGCCACCTTGAANGGTAACCTGTTCCACATAGGTATGACCATGTGTGCGAAGAAGTTGGCCCGTACTTCCAACCTGGCATGGTTCTGCTTAAGTTTATAGCCATGACATCTCGTGTTCTGAGCACGAGAAATCGTAAACAAGTCATCTAGGTTGAGTCCCGATAGACCTCTTACAATTTTAAAAGTCTCTATCCGATCTCCCCTCACTCGTCTGCGCCCCAGCTAAAAGAGATTAAGATCTCTTAACCGCTGCTCATAGCTTTTCCCCTTTTGCCCAGTCACCATTCGGGTAGCTAGGGATTGCACTCATTCTAAACATGTTACATCCCTCCTGTAATACCGTGCCCATGGCTGCACACAATACTCCGCGTGGGCGAACAATCGATTTATACGGTGGGACGAAACCTCAGGCTTTCTGCAAGTCACTGCGGCACAGCCTGAACAGCTGCCCCCTAGCCTGATTTGGAGCCTTGGAGCACTGAGTTGACGGTTTAAAATTTTGGGTCCTTTATTTGCGGGACCTGCTGCATGGCAGCTCCGTTAAACGAGTATACCCCAGCTATGGTTGCTAAGATCCAACACTTGCTTAGATTCAAAGGTAGGTCCCACTTGACCGACCATCGATGGACTACCTCTAGGTTCCTTTGCAGGTAGTTACAAAGCACGCTCACCGCAGTACGTCGAGCGGTGCCCCGCGTGTTTGACGTCACGCTGGATTGAGATGCGGCCCTATAGGTCTGCAGTGATTTTTTAAACTATAATTCAAAAAATCAAAGTATCGTTCTTTATGGTTTTCAAGGAATGTAAACATTTCTAGCATTGAATTGAATCTAAAGATCCATGTATCAGAAAAATGGTGCGCTGATGACACATCTCGATAGGTTTTGTGCAGAAGTCGATTACGGTATATGCATGCAGATGATGACAAACTGAATTGCTGTGTTTTCATTTCCTAAATACCCTTTGTGCTTATGAGGAACATAAAATTTTACATTTATAATGTGGTCGTAAAACTACTAGAGTTGAAGGTTTAATTAGAAACATAATCTCGAATTCTCGGTTCGGATTTTCAACTGAAATATCGAAAGTGCCATCTTTAAATATGCACAGCATTTTTTTTTACAAAAAAACACATTGCAGTTAAGTTCAGTTTTCACGGGACGAATATGGCTCTTGCCAATCGACCGTTCAGTTGGTTGTGTTGTCGGCGGATGGTTTGGTTTGGTTTGGTGCCCAGGACGGTGACGGCGGCTTGCCAGGTTGTCCAGTTTCTTCCTCTGGTGAGCTCCAAGGATCTCCCGGTGCTGCGACAATAGGATGAAAGGGTTCATCTTCAGTGGTATACACGTAGAGGGGCGACTAGGAGAGGACCTCCAGCCACAGCACCCCACTCCGTGGGTGTTTGTGCAGTGGTGCGTTGCATACTGGCCTCTCGGATGGGAGAGTCACACCAAGACCCTTAAAGCCCGTAAGGATGAAAAGTCTAAGTTAAGAAGGATGTACGGAGGTTTTTGTTAGAGCTGAAGTGAGGAGGTAGAAGTGGGAGTTAAGAGGGTCATTGGGATGAAGAGAGGAGGGGGAAGGGAGACGGGCTTCTGGCGCTTG